TGCAAAACAATTTGCAAGTAATATTTTATGATGAAGATTTCCTTGAACCTGAAATAATATTTCTATATCTTATTATCTGCTCTTATGTTAAAACTACTAAAATAAACTTATCAATTATTAATTATAATAATACCTTATTCTGCGACTGTGTTGGAATTATAAAATCAGCAGGGACAAGTCTAGTACCTTGATGTAATAATTGATAAAATGCATGCTGTCCATTAGTACCTGGTTCTCCCCACACAATTGGACCTTAAATATTCGAAAAAATTTTTAATATTAAATTCCTAAAAATTGTATTTTTCCTTTTATTCTATTAAACATTACAAAATATTAAAAATATTTACCAGTATTATAATTTACAATTTTTCCTGCTCGAGTAACATATTTTCCATTACTTTCCATATCTCCTTGTTGGAAATAAGCGGCAAATCTGTGTAGGTACTGATCATATGGCAATAATGCATGTGTTTCTGCCTTATAGAAATTGTGATACCACACTCCCAGTAAGGCTAATATAACTGGGGCCTACAGAATAATAATTTTTTCAACAAACTATGAGTTTCTATATGCAACAGAAGTGCTTACTTTTCCTTTAAAGCATTAAAAGAATATATAATTTTAATATTATAAGACAAAAAGAATACTTACATTTTTCTCCAATGGAGCACTACAAAAATGTTGATCCATAAAGTATGCTCCACTCAATAATTTTTCAAAATTATCAAACCCAATAGACAAGGAGATTGATAAACCAATAGCTGACCATAATGAATAACGTCCACCAACCCAATCCCAAAATCCAAACATATTTTTCTCATCAATACCAAACTCTTTAACTTTCTGGTTATTGGTAGATAATGCAACAAAATGCCGCGCAACTGATGCAGGCTGTACAACACAAATTTTATATTTATAAAATGGTCATGCTTCTCATATACCCATAATATAGATTGAAACTATTATTCTTGCAATTTACTCACATTTTTTAAAGTATCTAAAAGCCATATTTTAGCAGAAGTAGCATTTGTAATTGTTTCTTGAGTGGTAAATGTTTTAGAAGCTATTATGAAAAGAGTTGTTTCTGGATTCAATTTCTTCAAAGTTTCAGCTATATGAGTTCCATCTATATTACTAACAAAATGGACTCTTGGGCCAATGTGATATGCCTTTAATGCTTCAGTTACCATCAAAGGACCCTATACATGTAATTACATTGTTGGTTATAATCATGCTTTCTATAAATGTAATTTATATAACTTACAAGATCTGAACCACCAATTCCAATATTAACAACATCTTCAATTGGTTTACCAGTAAAACCTTTCCATTCTTTTGATAGAATCTATACAATTTAAAAAAGTGCACATTAAATAAACAACTAAAAATAGTCAAATTAGTTTGCACTTAAAAAACTTTGCATTAAAAAGTATACATATATTTCACCTCATTAGTAAATTGCTTCATATGACTCAATACAGCATTCACATCTGGCATCACATCTTTATTATCAACCAATATTGGCTTATTAGCTCTATTACGCAAAGCAATATGTAAAACTGCTCTATTTTCTGTGAAATTAATCTTCTCTCCATTGAACATAGCATCCCTTGCAGCTTCTATTTCACGTGCCCGAGCCTTTAAATTAATGAAATACGTTTAAATAAATAATTTCTTATTATAATTATGCAATATGATTTGACTAATATTAAAATACATACTAATTCTAATAATAATTGTAATGTTTCTTGAGTAAGACGATTCTTGGAATAATCAAGTAAAATTGGTCCATCCTCAGGAGTAGAAATTTCTAAGCTAATTAATAATAGGAATAATGATAAAATTTTGCTTACATAATGATGTATATATATACATGTAGATATTTTTACAAGAATTGAACTATAATTTTATGAATTCAAATTCCGTTTATACAATATTTTCAGGTAAAATGTATTGCAATTGCTTAATTTATATGTATTAAAATGTTAAAAAAGTCTAAAACAGTAAAAGTTTAAAGAAAAATGTATTGCACTTAGAAGTAAAAGAAACAAATATTTTGAGAAAAATCTAAACTGTAAAAAATAATAAATTTATTATCTTTATTTCATAAACAACAAATATAAGAAAAAGATTATTACAACAACTTAATTTCAGTTGTAAATGAACAACCTTTAAAAATGTCATGTCAAGGTCATACGTCAAGGACTGACGAAAACTTACCTAAAGTTTTCAGAACGTTTAGGATCTTGTTGAAAGAGTTCGTATATCTTAATTTTTGAACTATTAGCGTCAAAATGTTGTTGTAATTTTGTCCAGGCTGCCTCAGCTGTCAATACTGGTTTCGGTTTCATATTTTTAATTTAGAAAAACAGTATTGAAACTCACGAAATTCTAAGATGTGCTCTACGTATGATTCACATGTAGAATATATACGGGATGTGCCACCTATGTTCCTTTCAAGCTGCTTCTCAATCAAATCATCTATCTATTTTATGCTTTAATCACCGTTCTTATGAAAATATCGCAAGTCATAACTTTCAAAAGAATATCGTTATATTACTATGCATTTTTTACTTTTCATTGTTTTAATATAAATATGAATACAATTATTTAATAAATACACAAAAAATTGTACAAAATTCTATTTATACAATACTGATAGTGCATTGAATTA